CATTACAGCAGTAACAAGTAAGTTCCGAATAAATAGCAGATAGTACATAGATAGCTATGGATTTATGTATATACTTACTTCAAATAACTAATTTTAATGTGATAGCCACGGGGAACAACAAAACAATGATGAGTCAACACACCAACCACATTTGCATAACAACACAACACATTGTACGGACCAAGCTATTATTGCGGAAGCGAACGCGCGAATATGTCACACAAGCCATGAGGAACCCTGTGTCGAGTCCATGACAGGCACTCTAGGACTTTTTGTGGCTCTGTCTATACATTCAGCAATCGAAGGTCTTGCTATTGGTGTACAAAATTCGGCAGCAAAGGTAAGCTTTGATGTAAATGTGTGGCTGAGTTCCAAGTTGGTATGTTGCAAAGCATCAGCCTCTTATTTCTAAACTATAACTGATGGAAATGTCCAATAAGCGCAACCTCGTTTAACCTGAAACTTGTTGGGCTCGGAGGTTTAACCTTTTTTGTGCCAGTAATACATGAAAAATCGGTGCGTTTTCCCAGCACTTTCGGCAACCGTAAAATGTCTCGCTAGCATATCGAAAATTTGTTAGTCCAGTTTTTCAAAAGTTTTCAGGAGAGAAGAAAAAGTTGCCAAAGAAATTTTCTTCAAATATTTTGCAAAACATTCATAACATTTTTGCATATTCAAAGCACAACCTAACTATTCGAATCGGAAGATTTCTTTTGTTAGATAACTTTTTGTACCCTTTTGAATATATCGGATTTTTTGTGCTTTCTTTGGGCTTAGCAAATTTTCCTTTCTCGGCATATATGAAATCAGCAATTCGATCTTTTTGGGTTCGAAGCATTTTTTATTTTTCTTGCTATAAGCTTTAATTTTCAATAAAATTAAGGCTGACATAATCTTCATAGGAATATTTAAAATTGTGACTGGTCGGACTGGTTCTTGTGACTGATGTATAAGTAATCATGTGTGAACTAAAAGTTTGCATATACGAAATTTGGATTTTTTTTTTTTAATATTTTTCAACATTAATTAAATGTAGTCATTTAGCAAAAAGTGACTATTGAAATATGTAATTTTCCTGTCTTACATAGAACGATAGGACATTCCGCAGGGCCTGGGTTCGAGCCCAGTTTTCGACCAACATCAAAAAAAAAAGTATTTTTCTAATAACGGTCGCCCCTTGGCAGGCAATGGCAAACCTCCGATAGTATTTCTGCTATGAAAAACAGTTTCTCATAAAAATACAATCGGGGTTCCGAGTCAGCGTTAAACTGTAGGTCTCTCCCCGTTTGTGTGACAACGACAACAAGGAATACGCCACAAATCGGAGGAGAAGCTCGGCCAAACATGCATGCCAACGTCGCACATGAAAATTTGTTGACTAAGTGCCTACATATCAGCAAGCCCGTTGTCCGCTACTGCATGACATTGTAACCGGTTTTAGATCAAAACTCATACCTTATGCATTACAATCGGACCACTTTTAGTACAATTCACCTGTTTTACATTACATTGCTTTATATTTTTGGACTATCTTTGGTCTAGATACAAAACTACTATACCTACACGGCTATATTTTTCGAGCAATTGGACCAATCTTTCCTTCAGGGAGACTTCCAACATAAACTTAACGAAAACTAATGCCGAATTTCCACTAGGCATTGAAATGACAAAAAATGTATGCCATTTAAAAAAATGCTATGTGGAAATGAAGTTACAGACAATTTTTTAATGTAATGACACGATTATTTTTTAATGCCCGACTTTGTCATTTTTGCCATTTAATGCCTAGTGGAAATCCAGCATAACACACAAGCATTGATATGCTGTGATAAAAGCCAATAAATAATACCGCCCGCGTCTTTTTCAGGTGCTTTTTCTGCTCGGTGCCGTAGCCTGTCATAAGTTTGTTATGGGCTTTTGCCTAGGTTTGGAATTTCGTTCCAATTCGCAAACGAGCCTTCGCAAACATTTCATCGGCATATTGGTGTTTGCATTGGGTGCTGTTTGCGGGATTGCTGTTGGCATGATCATAGTGGATATACCCTCTAATTGGTCTAGTTCCGTATTGTCCATTGTACAGGGCCTCGCTGGAGGAACATTACTCTATGTAACCGTTTGCGAGGTCATACCCAGGGAAAAGGCGCGTTGGCATCAAAACGTAACGAGAAAGGCGGCAGGTTTCGGTCAATTCTTGGCAGTCGTTAGTGGTTTTTCCATAATGGCTGTCATTAATTATTATCTAAAAGGTAAACATTGCTTTGTCTCATTTATTATATTCATGTAGATATTTATGGCTGGATTCACAAATATGTATTTTATTTTTTATTTTAATGCAGATGACGACAGCTAATCGAAGAAATTTTCCATATTACATATAAGCGTGTTCAGGTGTTAATCTCCAATATGCATATATGTATGTACATAAACTCCTGACTATAAGCAATAATAATGTTCTTTTATAAGTATATGTATGTATGTACGTTTATTGTAGACAACATAAATATGTATTTACATCATATTTTAAGCATATTGCTCAAAGAAATCATTGTGAAACAATGGTAATCTACTCAATGTTATTTAAGAATAAAATGTATCATTTCTATATACTAAAATACTTAAGCTATACTAGAAAAACCGTACATGAACTACTGATGAAAGTTGCAATTGGTTACGGGCGAAAATGTTCCGCAAATATTACTATAACCGTAAGTTAGGCTCCAGTGTAAAATTTTTAAACCCGCTACCGTAATTTCAGTTACGTTGAAGGAATTATGTAAGTTGGTCTTCCGAATGTGTACCGAAATGTTCTAAAAATCATATTATATTAATTGCTTGCAGATGACTGCATGAAAGTAATCTCAGACCGTACACTCATCGGCCTACACAATGTTTTAAGTGACTGCCCTATTTTAATAAATAATTTTTTTTTGTTTATATGTATCTTGTATTTTTAGTATCTGTATCTTGTCTATATTTCAATCAGGCATATGCGCTAATATTGTAGTATCTTTAGTTTATATGTATATCAAATAAGTAAAACTCAAATATGTATAAATACACAATATTTCAACTCACATAATACATACATATATGCATAATAAATCTGAAGCGTTTTGCATCAAAATTTTAATGTATGTATGTGTTTTTTAGTTCAGGTAATTTTCCAAAAATTCCCAAGGTGTATTTTCCGAGTATTTGATACACTGAAAACATAATACAATCAAGCTTCTATAACTTCAACTATATCGATGGATGTAAATTTGTCAATTCACAAGAACTTTTGCTTTGGACAATCGTGTTTCTTGTTAGACTGCATACTGCAAATGTGTGTGAATGAATACGGCTGTTCAGGATATTGTGCATATGGTATTGGATTTGCATTTGCAAATTTTATGCTGGCTACCATGCCAACCGTTTCCATTTAATTGTTTTGAATTTACAAATGGCTGAGTGGAAGATCGACCTATCTCGGCAGCTAGTTCGAAAACGCCAGTCAGAAACCTTTTCAAGAACGCCCTATATCAGAATTTGATTGAAAAACACCATATCTGGGAATTTAGTTGAAGAACGCCCTATCTCAGAATTCGGTTAAAAATCGCCCTATCTCAAACGAAAATACATTGGAAAAGTGCTGAGATAGGGCATTTTTGAATCGGCAGACGAATAGGGCGTTTTTGAACTGAATTCTGAGAAAGGATTTTAAAATATGGTGCCCTTCAACCGAATTCTGAAATAGGGCGTTGCTGAAAGATTCTCTGAGATAGAGCGTTTTCAAAGTGGCTGCCGAGATTGGTCGATCTTCCACTCAGCCATCGATATGCACAATATCCTGAACAGCCCCATTATGCTAATATTTATGCAAAATCAGAGATCGCAAGTAACAGTTATCACTCTAGCTTCCTTATTGACACAGATTTATACTAAAACTGGCAGAGATACATATGTATGCACTTGCGTACACATGCAAATTGAGATTTTATAAATTTTCAGTCGCTGTTATTTCTCGTGGGCTGAGAATAATATTTCCTTTGCATCTGTAAAGGTTTTTCATTGATAATTAAACACGGTTACTCATTATCCTTGAATAAGCGTTATAAAGTGAATATTTTATATTCTTTTTAAATACTACTTTAGTACCTACACTATTCATTTTTTACCTAAACCAAAAGGGGTGCTGCACCAGAAATATATTTTTCACAATCAATAGCTCCATACACTGTAAATGGTACATTAATCTAACCTTTAGGCTTTGCTGTCTATCCTTATTGCCACTGAATATGTAATTAGAAACGAAGACACAAAAAAATCGTTCCCTCGACAGTCGGGGCTACGTAGCCGGAACGGCCCAGATTTATGTATGGCCAAGGACTGTCACTCTAGCATCAGTCCCAAAAACTCTTAGGGGAATTTAAATGCTGCTACAGCAACAACATCAAAAAAAAAATATTTCGTAGCGTTATTTTAAGCTAACATTAACCAACTTTTTTATACTGACTTTAATAAATTTTGAATTTTATAGATTTGTTGTTACGTTTCTTTTAGGATGATAAAAGTGAACAGAATGTATTCAGAAAATCCTAATATTTTTATAAAACAAATATTTGTCTCCTATTAATTTTCTAACATAGAATAACCGTTAGGTTTGCTTTTTATTTTTAGGTACACATAAAAAGCAAAATCTAAATATAAATGTACTTTTGGATTTGATTAGACCCGATAAATCCTGAAAGGTGCCGAAGAAACGCCGAAAGCTTCCAGAAAAACGTGGTAAGTCACAAAAATGTGAAAGGGTTCCGAGAAAAGTGTTGAAAAATGCCCAAAGATTCCGAACAAAAAAAAAACAAAAAACCTCCCAAGAGTCTAGAAAAAGTCCCCAACGGTCCCCAGAAAATAGCAAAAAAAAAACGAATCACTTTAATTTTATTACAACTATTTTCGAAAAAACAGTACGAAAAGTTTTCAGTTTTATTTTCAAAACTTGATGCTGAAGGACAGGTATAAAAAATCTATGTTTGTTCACTTCCGAGTGAATATCAATCAACTTCGCTTTGAATTCAAATTCGGAAGTGACTTGCAGAACCTGCCTGTTAATCTCAAATCCACTCATAGAACACCTATGCCTTTGGACTCCGGTTTCTTCGATAAAGCAAGTTCTATGGACCTACTGTTAATTGAGCTTTACAACAACTAAGCTTATCACCAGCTACAAAAACAACAACAACAACCATTTTGCTCGGCAAATTGCGATTTAATTTTTAAATTTGACCAGGCAAGAAATATAATTTCACCTCAAAAACAAATCTAAGTGGCCGCCTGTAAAATAACAGACGATTGGATATCCCGATTTTACAGCCATTTTTTCTAGTTAACTGTTATTTGCGATGTCTGGAAAGGATAGAAGATTAAATCTCCCTAGCCAAAACTTTTACAATTTCTTACAAAACAAGCAGTGTCTAAATGCAGTAAAATATTTTAAGATTTCAGCACAGATCTGAATTCATATTCAGGCAAGTTCCGCAATTCACTTCAGAGTGAATATCAATCAACTTCGCTTTGAATTCAAATTAGCAGGGGTTGAAATTCTCTCGGAAGCGAATTACAGAACCTGCTTGATTTAGTCGTAAAATAACGTAACAGCTTAATGTACATAAATGGAAGTAAAACTAGATATGCAATTTGCTTGCTTGCGTTTCTCTCTTCTACATTGAAACATTTTCCCTTCTTGGTTTCGGAATAAAAACTTACATTGCAATTAAATCTAGATTTCAAAGTTCTTCCTCATCCACTTCTGTTATAGCAGTTGGAACAGCAGTATCTTGTTCCTCTTCTTCATCATCTTCAGCCCATTCGCTAATAAGACTTTTCACACGCTCGGATGTTT